TTCGTTTCACCTAGCGCCTAATGAGAACGTAGTGCCAGGACAGTCGGTCCTGGCAAAAGGACACTAAAAACGCATAAGCTACGAAACTTTTTGAGTTGCGACTTGGTGCCGGAACATTGTTGCTCTATGGACGGTGTTAATTAAAAGGCAAAACTCATGACACAAACGGAATTTGAGGTCCTCGAGGTGCTGCTGCAAATGAATTGTATATAATGTATGTAGATGAACGAATTCTGGGCGAGTTCAGATAGCATTTGTCGCGTTATGTGCTTGAATAATAATTTCCATTAAGATTGCCCTCGAAAACTTGCGGTGTCTTTTACTTAAGCTGATTGCGATAGCAGCCTTTCCATTTCACTGTAAAATAATGGTTTTCTCTCCGGCTAAATGGAATGAGTAGTGGATTGCAAAGTTGTTCCGTAAAAAAAACAGCACCCTTTCTTTGAAACCACTGAAAAAGGCTTGATAAATTTAATATAGTCCATAAGTCGACCCCTTTTATTTGCTGTGTATGCTCCCAAAGAAATGCGACGACTTGAAGTTAATTTGTGTAGCTGCTGGAAACCTCTTAAGCTCTTCCGAGCACTATCTCCATTGTAAATTCCGTCTTTCACACCTGTTACACGCAATTATCTCAACCACGGGCCAAGAAGAAACTCCGGGCGGACTGCACTCTGGGCCAGGTCCTCGGTTCGTGTCCCTCCAACGGAGTTCCCATTCCCATCCGTTTCGTGGGGTGGAAAATGAGTTTCGGATTAGAGGACAGCCCCGTATTACCTAGTCATTCCCACTCCTCGCTCGCCAGTCGTCAGGCAGTCAAAGCGCAGTGTAAGTAGCCTGGGCTAAGTGCCACCAGCAGCACCACTATCGCCACCCGGGGCTGGCACCACCAACACCAGGAGTACACTCGGCGAAATGGGTGGATCACCCATGACAGTAAATGGTAGGTTTTAAAGTTTCCTCGTGTTTTATCTTTTACTGTTTGTATGCACTTCTTAGTTGGATTTGCTTGGGTCGCAAGAACCCAACTGAGGCACCAACAAGGCCGCATTTTCTCTGCGTGTAGCATTACCCGTTGAGTGGAGCACGCACTGATTGCCAGTGAAATGCATGTGAAATTAACCTCGTGCTCTGCTCGGTTTAATTTGCACTCGATGGCTGCCAGTGGGCGGCAGCGGAAAAGCGAAAAAAGTTGGGGCATTGGGGTTGCATGCCAATGGAGGCGACACGCCGGCGTCCCAAATGTAATTTTCCCTTTGCTCATTTGCTGCCTGACTGGCTGATGGCTGGCGACGAAGACATGGCCCTGGCCGGGCCAACTGCACCACTCAGGGCACCACTCACTCAGCCCGTCACCCACTCATTCACCCATTCACCCATCCACCCATCCATCCATTCACTCACCCACTCAGTTAGCCACGCGTCAAGTTGCGTAGTTGCGACGGAAAGTGTTGAGCAAGTTGTCAAATGGTCTGTGATGGCTGATGGAGCAGTGGAGCAGTGGAGGATCTGGCTGACTAATAATTGCGGAAGGGTGGAGCACTCTATTGCAGAAGGTCGCACTGAACACCAGAGGTAGGTACTACTCAACTACTTAATACAGAAATTACAGAGATGAATATCTTGAAAAAGGTTCGTTTTACTTGTATTGTGTCTAAATATTCGTTGCAAAGAGAGAAAAATTGGCAACTCATTGAATTCATTATAAGTCGATAAGGATTTGAAGCGGATTTAAGAGCACTCAATTACCATTGCCAACGCATCTGCAAACATTGATAAGCCGCTTAACTGGCCATACTTTTCTCACAATTTATGGCTCCGTTGCGTGTGCACACATAAAAGTGCGGTTCGCTTATAATGAATGCTTAATAAGCATTTGTCGAATACATAAGCAATGTCCATTAAAATTGATTTCATTTGCTATGCAATTTACAATTCATCTTCGCTATAAAACGCAGCCAGGCAGCGAATTTCGCGGCACTTATCCGCACCATCCAAACACAAACCATTCAAAACTCAACCCATTCGAAAGCAACCCATTCAAAACTCAACCCACAAGTGCGGATGCCGCATAAACTATTCATTTCAGTTCGATAACAAAGCCAGTGCCAAAGCTCCAAGCAGCCCATATGTGTTCATTCCATTGCGTTATTTGCCGCATTAACGAAATCAACATTTAAATTGCAAATTGTGTGCATTTTGATTGAAAAATGCCGCGTTGACGACCCGCCTCGGATCACAGATAAGCCCAAAGAGGTGGAGAAAGGCCGATTCGGTTCGGTTCGGTTCGGTTTGGTTTGGTTTTGTTTCACTGTACTCGCTGGCAGCTGCTGTCTTCACACATCCACAACCACCCGCATGCAATTTGCTGCTCTTTTGTGCAATAAAACAACGCACAACAACGAGAGTTTCATGCGCATTAATGTGCGACATTTGAGAAATGGGCCCTGGACCCTCAAACTCTTCCTTTCATCTGAATGGTGCATACATGTATTATTTTGTTTCATTGCAGGATACTTGTTAAGTACTTTGATGTATTCCCCTTGCTGGAAGATAAGTAGCAGGTACAGGTAGCAGATAACCCTTTCGATTCTACAAAGCAATTAGTTCAATACTTGTTGATGTACTTACAACTTGCTTTTAATTGTTTAACATCGAGTCTACCTATCAATACATATTTTTGTAAACATTTTAAATAGTTGGGGATTACTGTGAAGAGCATTTAAAGTAATTGAGCTTCTACCTGGATCTTTTTCTTAATCTGGCTAATATGCGAGGTATATTTTAGTCGTGTCGCAATCTGCCAACTTGCATACCGGGAAAGTGCAATAAAAAGGCAAAAGCGAATCCGAATGGATTGAACGGAATCGAACAGGACATATACTTACATCCAGTCACGCACAATGGTTAATGGAGACGAGGGAGGGGGAAGTCCCAAGCAAGGGGAAAACGAGAAAATTATTCATTAACACATGCGTAAAATGCGAAAGGAGCATTGCCATAAATAAATAATTGATAAATTGCAGATGAATTTTCATATTTAATGATGTTTAAGTGAGTCGGGGCTGCAAATGCCAGTTTTGTTCGCATCTGGGCGTGCAATAATATTATGTTAAAATATACGATTACAATTCGGAGTTCGGTTGCCTTTCCTTTACGTTTTTACGACTCCAGTTGCCTGCGATGTCGCACAAGTGTGCGTATGAAAATTGATTGTTGCTTTATTTATGGCCTCGCACTCGCCGAGTAGACATAAAAAATTAAGATAAACATAAAATGCAATCATGCAGCTCGGCCGGATAAAAATCTAGCTGCCTTTTCTACACCCCAAATAAGTCTGATTTGGTTTACGTGCGTCGAGAGACTTTGCACGTCCTGTTCAGGGTTGTCAAAAATCTAAAAAACTACAAAATATTGACTTTAAACGTGTAAAAATGTGGCTTATAGCTGCTCAAGAAGCATCCTCTGAAAACTATGTTTACTTTTGAATGAAAGAATCATATACATTTGGCAAAAAGGAAGCATTGGCAACTTGACAACTCTGAATCCGCCCTGAAATGGCGACATTGAGGTCGCCTCATGCCTCCTAAAAGGCATAAAACTTTGCCTCTAACGAGCATCGTTTTTACGATCCTACTGTTTGACATCGAACCGAAAAAAATGTGTACTGATATTATGGAGTTGGAGGGAACTCCCTGTGGAATCCTTGCAGTCTGACAAATGTTCAACAAAATGAACCCTTAATGATTTGTAATGCGTGCTGGTTTTAAAGCGCCTAAAGAGCAACACATATAGGGGTTTACTTGATGGGGGCTTCACTAAATTTAAGCCCGATAATTGATCATTGTAACCTCATTAAAGCCGTCAAACGTGATTACATAAATGTCGATAATAATTTATGGATATCAATGAATTCAGCGAACGGAAATACATTGAGAGCAAGTTGGTGGAATATTTAATGTTGTTAATAAGAAAATAAGGCTAATACCTATGCCAACATTTAAGTTCGCTTAAACTATTTAAAGACTATTTTTTTTTTTGCCACATATTTGTAATTCCCAACAAAGTGGTCATGAGGCACTGCCGAAGTGTAGACGGTTTATTAGGTTTTGAATTTAGTCACACACAAAGGAGCTGCATTGTTCCACTCAACTGAGATAATCTTCATCCAACTGCAGGCACTTCAGCCTCGAATGCCCAAGCCGGCCCTGCAAAATATGTAATTAAACTTAATGAGTGTAAAATGCTCATGTCCTGGCCCAGACTCGTACTCGTTCTCATGCTCAGTTTCAGGATTTCAGGAGCTGGCTGCGATTTGGGCAACAGCATCGAATCAAATGCTGTCAGGCAAATCAAGTCATTCATTTGTCAATTAGTTGACAATGGATCAACTTGAGCTTAACTGCTTCTGCAGCCCAAAACCAAAAAGCAGATCCGACAAATGCTCGAGCGTAATTGCATTTAAGATTTGCTGAAGTCCAGTCAAGAATTAACTTGGCCTTAGGTCTGCTCCGAGTGGAGTCACATTTTGTAATTTGGTATCGCTGATGAAATGCATTTCATTAATATTTATTTGCCTCAGGCATGTCAGACAAGACAGCTTGGCTTCGGATTTGTTCACTGCCAGAGGGCAGTTATTGTGGAAAAATGCCAAATTTATATTCCGCAAAATCTAAAGTCTCAGGCCAAATCCTGGGAAATATGCTGTTAATTTACGGCTGTGATGGAATAATTTCTTAAATGCAAGCACTTGAACAAGCAGCGCATTTCAATGGAACCTCATTGAAATGAATTTTTATGTTTATTGTGCTGGGGCGAATTAATAATTTTAATTTCCGTTTTTAAATTTATTTTCCCTCATAAATTCTTTTAATTTTCAAGTAGTATTCAACATAATTTGTGGCGGCCTTAAGCCACAATATATTATTTTAATGGTGCGTCAGTATCAGGAGGCGCTCTAGTGTTCTTTTGCTTATATTTCACAACCGAATTAAAATTTATACCTGCAGTCTTCGAAATTATCAATATAACTGATTAAATAATAGCTGACATAATGATTAACCCGGTAATAACTCGACAAATGGTGCACATACTGCCAAGTGTGACAGTCGATAGGATAACACTGCCCGATATTATTGACGATGCAATCAAAGCACCATCGGAAGGCATTAATTCCGATGCAAAATCGTCTGAGACTGAGGTGGAAGATAATGCCGAGAAATCGGACACTGAATCGGAATCCAAACTCGAAAAGGAGGAGGAACCTGAGGAGCCCAAAGAAGAAGACGTAAAGTACGCGTGGAACGCACCCTGCATGATGGTTATTTTCGAGGATGGCGATCTCGATTGTGCCCTGTATCATCTGGTCGAATCCCTACAGGATCCCTTCGCCTTGGATGCGGTGGGCGTGATTTTGGTGCAAGAAGCCCTAGTCGAAGAAATCGAAAAGCGAGTGCAAATCCTGATGAAACCCTTGGATGCCAGGGTGGCCAATCATCCGTGCTACAAACGCACTCTGTTGAGGATTGGCGAACTTAAGCCGAAAACTGTAATCGGTCCTCCAGATCGTGTGCTACCCGATGCCACGCCCATGCTGGTGCGGGACATACCCCACAAATATATTGGCGATGGACCCACGGGCATTATAACCATGCACATTTTTCGCACTCCCTTTGAAGCCACTCAGATATATAGAAAAGAATACCCCCTGCCAATCGCATCGGTTAGTATATGGAATGAGCGGGTTTCTAGTGTCTACGATGTGATTGCCAATATGAATTCACTCGATACCTTTAAGGTCAACTGTTTTACGGTCGATATGGAGCCCATTAAACGGGCATTCGAGCAGAGGAAATATAGTGCTTGTATGCATCGGGGCTATCACTATGAAACGCTGCCAATAAATGGCGAGAGAAAGATAATCATATACCCAGTTGGTACTATATTTGGTAATTGAAGTGAAGGCCAGACAAATAAAATAATATACATAGGCACCTAGCATTATTTCAATCTCATCCCAAAATGGATGGCATCCTTAACACTCCTCTATGGTGTTGTGCTAGTATCTAATGCATGCAATCTAATTCAATGGGCCGGGGCTTTCAACAACTATTTACACACAGAAAGCCTGTTGAGAACATTCAACTCGCACTTTTCGTTCGCTAATCTAAATTAATGCCTCTCACTGCGAATCGGAATAGGCTGTGCAGCGATGTTTTATCATTCAATTAAAAAAAGGGAGGAAAGCAGCAGAAAACGCGTGCATGGGAAATGCGCGAAATAGACCAGAGGATTTTCGCACATTTACCCCTACGTAAAAATAGTGGGCGGAGGAGTGGAAGTAATTTGCACCCCCGGACGGAATAATGAAGTGTTTAGTTGATTATCTAAACGCATGGCGCCGTATCCGGATCCGGGAGCACTAGGCCTAAAAGTGCTGGAATTGCTTGGGTTTTCGGGTAGCGGTTGAGTCAATAATGCGCCAAATAAACAGCTAACAAGTTGGTAATAAAAGAACTCGAAAATGGCCCGAGGTCCGACCGATTTCGCAGAATGCCAGGCTCCATCCATCGACCATTTATTCACACACACGCAACTGCATGTGGCGGCAGGTAACACCGGGCTGAAAAGTTTCAAGCAAAAGCACAGCCGTTGGCCATGGTGAATGGAGCCATACAGACAGGCGATGAGTACCGCGGGGGCGTGGCACGCATTGTCTGCAGGTAAGCCTTTTTGCGGTGGGGCCCACTTTTTGGCGCTGAGCAACAACGCCACGCATTTGCATTGATAACCGAAAATGTTTGGACTTGAAACGAGTTTAGTTTGGCCTGCTTTCGTGTACAACTACTATATTTCACCGACAAATCAAACAGACAATGGGCTTCAAGCCCCGTAGATTGTTGGAGAACAGTTGCGGCCAAAATGGTATAAATGGGAGCACACGAATTGTTTGCGTATAATTTTGAGCATTCCCAAACATTATGTATACGCCATGTTATCGAGGGTCACGAAAAACGTATTTTTCGTTGCATACTTTCAGGCAGATGAAATATTCCGTTTACCCCAGGCCATTTTGAGATTATTCACATTGCATACTTTTCGGCTTATTTTTACATTAAGTATACGCCCTGTTAACTAAAGCAATTAAATCTTGATACTTTGTTGCGTAGTTTTGTGCAGTTTTAAACATTATGTATTCGCCACGTTGTCATGCCTAATATTTAAGTTACAATCGGCCTCGGGAAAATCCAATTTAAGCTTTCCGTTCTGATTATTAATATTTCCAAGGCGATCCGTTTCAGGAGCAGCTACTAGTTACATCACCGCAATTGTTTTTTCAGGTAAAAGGAGGCGTATGCGTAAAGCCTTTGCTGCTCGGCTCGCCACGATGTTTACTGGATGTCTTAATTAAATTTGATTAGCTGTGTGCGCAAATTAGTTAGTTTTGCATGGGAATAGATGAGCGTGATGAGTTTGCCGACTAATTGGCTAATTGATTGATTGTTAGAGTGGTTGCAGTGCCTCTCCTCGAAACATACCGCCCAGAATGTTTGCCTAATTGCGCTTGAAATGCATTCGCTCGCTACGAAGTTGGTATTCTTTGTGTGCAGCCACTAATGAAAATCGAATAATGGCTCAGGAGCCAACGGTGCCGCCCGGCAGTCAATCAAAAATGCATTTGCCCAGTCCATGGATTGCCGCTGCTGCTGTTGCTATTTGCTTTTAAATATTTTCAGTAACGCAGATTCCTTAGCCCGGCCAGCGCCTGCATAATACATATCGGAATAACCTTGGTCCGAAATTCGCCAAAAGAATAACTGCGCATTGTTTGCAAAGAAACAACTTTGCTTTCTGCCTTGGCTGACTGGCATGGTTAGGAGTTGTTGCAGTCGTTATTGTTGTTGTTGTTGTTGTTGGCTGTCAGAGTTTCCCGGGGGATGGAGATGCAGTTTACCAGGCGGTGGGCGAAAGTGCTAAAGTTTCCACAGCGCGCATGAAATTTCCACTTTAGTCGTGTTGTGTAGTAAATTTTTGTTTTCGCTTTTTGTTTTTTTTCCTTTCTTTTCACTCCCCCCAATTCTCGAGATTTCCCCCTCGTGCTACTCGTGCTTATTTCAAGTAGTTGAAATTATTTTATAGTATAAAACTTTAGTTTTTTAACTTTGCCCGGTGCTCACTCCGTGTTGCGTTGTGCTGCTGTTGTTGTGTTGCCTTCGCTGGGCGAAAGCCCTTCGTCCATTTGGCGTCCGCACGCGCTTCTTGTTTTAGCATATTTATATTTTAATAAGCGTTCTGGCAGCTGCGCTCCAGCGCCTCCCATTTCCCTTTTCCCATTTCCCCGAGCCTCCGATGTCCTGCGTAATTTTACTGCAATTTCTGACAGTTTTAGAAATCTTCGCGAGCAGAACTTATGAACCCAAATGCGCCTGTCAGTGGCAAATGGCAAACTCAGCCAGGATGCTGGGATGCTGGGATGCCGTGCTGGCTGGCAGGCGGGCAGGCGGGCAACGTGGCGTATGATTGTTATTAATTTCATATTATGTGTAAGCACCACTGCGATATCCTTTGTTGCCTTCCGCCCGTTTGCAATAAGCAATAAGCGTCAGACGGAATGATATTTAATGTCAGGAGGCCGTAAGAGGAGAGGATGAGACGAGGCATCGAGAGGATGACTTCGAGGTGCAGTTCAAGTGGCTCCTTGGAGCACGAAAGTGTTGAGATTGCCAGAAGTGTTTGAGCATCCCATTTGCATAAAGTGCGGTTAATCTCGTGGATGTCGAAGGGTAAGTGAAAAATTAACAGTGCACAGTGTTTCAGCGGAACTGTAGAAAGAAGGTTAAGCATTAAACATAAAATCAAAAATATTGTAAACTACACCTAAATGTTAGTTGTGTAGATTGAGTTGAAAACTTTAAATACTTATATGCCGTTTAATCAAATGCGTTCGATTGTTTTGATTGACTCTAGCTCGCAGTGGAACCACCTCTTGATTAAATTAAAATTCAATTAAGGCTTTTGTTTAGCTGGGCGTAGTGAGTGTTTAATAGGAAAATCCATCACAAGCATGATTCAATGGGGCCTTGTTGTTGGCTCCCGCCGCAATTGTTAACCATTTTCACTTCAATACAATGTGACATGGCCCTCTTGATTGAGTATGTATGCGTGTGTGTGTCGATTGTTTATGATGTGTGTGTGTGTGGGGATGTGTATGTGCGCGATGGCATTGTGTTTGTAACAAAATATAATCATAAACGTAATTTAATCGCGCCAAACCGCGTCTGTCACGTACTTGCCAGCCACAGATACAGATACAAATACACAAAGGCACATTATTGACGCGACACACACACACCCATACACACGCAGACACAAACATCGAGATACACACGTTTTGGCAGCGCTGACAACAGAAACTGTTATAATAATTCAATTCAATACAGCCAGCCATTCCGTAATAATGTCGATTCAATGTTGTAAATACGTTGCGAATCGTTTGCGACTTGCCAAATCTAATGATCACCTGTTTGGCACCCGCATACTTCCCATTTACTTCTCTGCGTGTTTGCTGGGGAATTGATTTTGCTATCCAGGCACGTCATGTTCCATGGGTATCCGTAAGCTCACAAAACTATTTTCTATTGAATTAAATTGTTATCATTACAAATGGCAGGCTAAATGAGATTTGTATTTTGGCTATTACAATGTTTGGAGCCCAGGTAAAACGACTGTTCAAATAATGAGATAATGCTGGGAAATCCTTAAGGTTAGTTTCGATTAAAAGATTACCTCGACCGATGCTGCAGTAACAATCAAAATATGCTAAACTTTAACTAATGCTATACTTCGAGCTGATTCCTTCCTTGCTCTCCACCATCAATGACGCCAATCATGTCCAAATTAAAGTTTTCATTATTCGCATTCAAGCGCCGTCGACGGGCTTCATTTACTACATTCGCGCAACTTCAGCGCATCTTGGAGCTGCTGTCTTATGGCCTCATCCGCCTTTTATGGGGATTCCTTCACCGGCAGCCGGTGAATCAGTCACGTGTGTGCAAAATCAAAACGATTTGCGGAGCCTGTCACCCTTCCGCGTCTTTTGTTTGCCATTTGGGAGCGGAGTGAGCGTGAATGCGCGTAAATTACGGCTGACAGGAGACGGCTTCCTCTGATGCGGATGCCGTTGGCTGATTGATGCGCTTGCCCAGGTCACTCGGAAAAATGGGATAATTTCGTAAGTCAATCGAGTGTCACTTATTCATCTTGCTAGATCTACTTGGGGCGCATGAAAAACGCTATAAACATAAACCTGACATTTTAGGGCAGCCGCAGTTATGTTTCATTCAATGGGCACAGCATTTTTCCCTGTGCATGCAGCGCTGCAACTTTTGCCACTTAGCCGTAAGCCGCGGATCCAAGGCTCCAGAAATCGGAGCCATTCCATTGCACGCATGACAGCTGCCATGTGCTGGCATTTTAGTATCCTACCATCCAGCCATACAGCCATCCCAGCATCCTGGCATCCACGCATCCTAGCAGTTAACCACAGCAGCCCAGGGAGCGCTTTGTCCTTGTCACCTTTTTAGTTTTCGGTGTGTTGACAGCCGAGCACTCAGTTGACAACGCTGCGCAGCCAGCCCTTCTCGTAATAGCTGCACACTGAGCGAAATAGTGGAGCTTCATCTTGGCTTTACAGAGCCTACAGAGTACGAATGTAGCTAATGTCACGTAACTAGCTACGGGATCATATTTCTACTACATCTCTGTACATTCCTACTAGATTTCCCACTTAATTACAGTGCGCATTTATTTGCCATTATGACATTACTTACTGCTATGTAATCCTGCGGATCCCCTTTTTTTCTGTGCAACATCTTCGCAGCTTCGGGGAGCGGCAAGTGCATTTATCTCGATCCGGAATGCCTTTTGAATAACTTGCCATATTAGCGTGTTTCCGTTTCCTTTCAGCTCAGCAGGCAGCAGTCAGCAACT